TTTCCCCCCAGCTGTTGCTATGTAGCTGTCCAAAGTTGGGGCCTGTTTCAGTGAATGAGCCTACTCCCTTACCTCTGCCCAGGGCCTGTTCTATGCTTCTCGGGTACAGAAGCTCCCTTTTCCCCTCCTTACAGTCATTTTGAGCCCTTGCCCGTGCTCAGACCCTCCTGCAAACATCAGTGTGAACCACCCCAAAAGATCTTGTCCTTTCCCAGCTGCTCAGCCCTTCCAGAGGGCCCGTTTCCCTGTCTGGCTGCCTTGTTCTCCTGTAACTCTTTTACCTGTCCTAGTGTCCTCTCCTGGCCAGGGCACAGGACCCTCCCGCAATCACCTTGACCTTTTCTTGCTGCAGCTCTTGTAGGGTATGTTCTGGGGTAGGATCCAAAAGCTCTGGGTGTCAAAACACTACCTGCAGGCCCAGTCCTAGCCATGTCACTGTACCACACTCCAGGGGTTGTGTCTGACCCTGCACCCATGTGGTATGTAGGGGGGGAAGCATGCTGCTAGGACTCCTGGGTTCTACACTTGGGGTGTGTGTGCATGCTTGTGTGTGTCCATCTCAATAACAATCCATGTGATCTGGGTTGCCATGATAGGCTCTGGTACTCTGATTATGATGGCAGTGACTGCACGTAACCCTGCCCTGCTTGTTCCATTTCTGCCAGTGGGCCCCTTCTGATCTCCTTTAATCTCATGATAGTCCAGCCAGGGAGTGATGAGATAGTGGGGCAGGAGCTGGGAGCAGGACCTGCTGCCTCTGCCTCCTGCCTGTCCTGTCCCTTGGTCCTCCAGCATGGAGGGTTGCTCCCTTCTCCCCATCCCCTCCCTTTCCTGCTGCAAGGGAACGGGTCCCCTGAGGCCCTTGCCAGCCTTGGGGAAGCCGTATGTCACCAGCCAGAGTCGGCACAAGGAGAGAGAGAAATTGGAGCCACCTGTTTCCCCAGCACTGCTCCCCTGTCATGCATCTCCCCTGCTGTTCCAGTCCTGTGCATCCCTTGCCCATCTCTGCCGCTGCCTCTCATTGAGGGTGTGGCTCAATGTGACATGCAGGCCTGTAGGGCGAAAAACTTGTGCCTCTGTATCCACAACGTGCCACCTCCTTCCATGCACCTGCATGGACCCTGCAGCTGCAGCCGCAGGCTGTTATTTCAACCTTGTGACCAGAGGCTACCAGAGAAATTACTTGGGGGGTAGCCAGTGTTTCTCAGGATCTCTTGGGGTGTTGTAATGGAATCAGTGCCACCGGGAGGGGCTTTGTGAGTAGACTGAGCTGGGTACAAGTGTGGACTCACAGGCCTGCTCTAACCACTTGACTACACTGCCCTTGGGGGTCTGTCAAGATCAGGTGCAGTCCCATAACCTTTTGGTGCACGCTCCTGCCCCAGGCCAAGGATTCTGGCTCTGGATACCCAGGAGATCTCATTCCCTTCTAATCAAAGCCACTCTGATATTGCCATAGTGGCTGTGAAAGTCCCATAGGGCCTGGCAGACAACTCGGGCTGGGCTGTGCTCAGGGGTGGGGGGAGGAATCCAGCAATGAAAGGGTGGATGGAGAAGCAGGGAAGGAAAACAATCCTGCAAAAAATAGGGTGAAAAGAAGATGGAGAGGGGTGTGAGAGGTCCAAGGAGGAAAATCGGTGCAGCAGCCGGCAGCATACAGGACCCCAGCTTGTGGCAGGCTGGATCCTGGGGACTCTTCTGTTCTTAACAGCCAGTGCAGCCTGCCCGTCAGCTGGGAACCTGGGCTGTGAAATGGGCTGTCCTTTCCAGGGAAAGGCATAGGCTCAATCCTCAGCAGGAGAGCTCTGGGAAGGCTGTTTTCATCCTCTGACTTTAGATCACTGGTTCTCAGGCTCTGCCAATGCTCCCACCTCTTTATTCACAAGATGTTCCCGACCCTCTATCTCTTGATTGTACCCCTTCGGCTTAGACCTTATGGCAGAGAGAGGGTCCCAGGTTTGACACAGCTTGGTGCATCCCCTTCCCAAGAGGGAGGCCCTTCAGTGCTTCAGACCTTGTGTCCCCAGCCCTGTAAGGATGGGGAAGGTTTCATGGAAGTGGCTTGTTGATGGGCCCGAGCCATCACGATGGTGAGTGCGAGGTCTTGCACAGCTGTGTGGCTTATGCAGCTCCAGGCGCCTGACACTGAGGAAGCTGACTGCTGTGCGAAGGGGGCAGCTGGGGGCTATCTGTGAAAGCACTGGTTGGGACCACAGGAGCAGTCGCTGTGTCCACTGCCCCTCTGCATGCCCTGCTCTTGCTCAGCAGCCCCCCTGCTTGTCCAAAAGAGACTGCCTGTCATGCCAAGCTGCGAGCTGGGCAGCCTGAGCAAGGACCTCTTGGTAGCAGGTGCAGTCTGATGACGCTGGCTGTTGGGGTGGCCCCTCAGGTAAATCCAAGGGGCCCCTGGCCTGCTTTAGCTCTGTGCAGTCACCCACAGGTGGGGATTTTCAAGGGCTAGGGTTGCAGGGTTCCTGTTCTCTTCAGCCGTTCATGAAGCCCTGGACTGCTGCTGGTAGTTTGGGGAGCCGAGATGGGGAAACTGAGACAAGGCGGCTTAAACAACTTGTCCCAGGGTGCAGGGAATGTCAAAGACGGCTTTTCAGCTTCTTCAGAGGCTCCCATTGTCTCCTTTCAGGAGGATCTGCTGTGAAGATCCCTCTGCCATCCTCTCCAGCCATGGCCACAGCCTGCAGAGGAGTCAGCACCGTGCTGGGGGAGCTGTGGCGTGGAGAGGCCGGGGTTTTTCCTCCCTGTTCCCTGTCTGTATGATGTGCGTCTCTGTGTGGCAGAGCAGCACCCCCAGATGCTGGCAGGGCCTGGCCCCTCCTGCAACCCTCCTTCTCTCTGCCGCCAGTATCCGAGGTGCTGGGAGCTACCAGGCGTGTTCTTTAATCCTCTTCTCGACATGAGAGTCTAAGTCCCGTCCGTCGGCAGTAATCTCTCCTTGCAGGCTGAGCGGCTGTCGGGTGACATTGTGGCTGAGAAAGGGGACAAGGAACCAACGTAACAGGTTCTCTGCCCCAGCTAATAACTCGGCAGAACATCAGTCACTGTCTGAGCAGCTTTCCCAGGCAAACTGGCTGCTTGTTAACCCTGGGAGATGACAGGGAGCTCGATAACGATGATTTGCCAGGAGGAGCCCATTTAGCTGAAGGAAGCACATCAATCACATGGGAGGAGAGGGTTGCAAAAATAGCACTTACCTGCGCTGCCTGCTGGCTCATCCATCAGCCCTCACCTTTATCTTTTCCCAGGTGGAGCAAGAGCACTTGACGCTGGCCCCAATTCACCATAGCGGCGTACCTGGTGGTGCCAGGTGTACCCTTCTTGTCCTGGTGCAAGTGGCTTCATGAGGTGTGTGGTGGGGGTGAATTGGTCCTTGTATCAGCCTGGTGTCCTCTCTGGACATGAAGCCGTGGGGGCTAGCAGTTGCCATTGCCTCACCACACCGTTGGTTGAAAAACAAACAGTGTATTTTCTATGTGTATTTATGTTCAGGGCGCTCATGTGGCAGCTGACCCCCTTCTTTTGGCTGGCAGAGTGAGCAACACCTTTCTAAATGAAAGAAGGTCTCTGCCACCAGTTAGCATCCAGCAGAGGGTACATGTAGAGATGTCCGTGCCTTCTGCCAGTTGCCGTGGGCCCCTGAGCAGCTGGGGCTTTTTCAGGGTGCCCTCCACCGTGTTGGCATGGCTGCTGCAGTGGAGCCACTGGGGACCGTGTGGCTGTGAGTGCACTCCAGCAGCTTCCTGGCGGTGGCCGATGACTGCCGGCTGCTGAAGTTGTGGCCATGCAAGCAGCCAAGTGTAGGTGAGGTCTGGAGTTAGACCTGGGTTCTCTTCCCTTCAGTGGTTTGCAGTGAGGAAGTGTTACTCACCGCCTTCGGGAAGGGCTTTGAAGGCAAAAAATGAAAAACTATTTGAGTTAACTGCTGTTACCGACAGGGAAACTGGTCACTTCCTGCCTTTTCACCCCTGCAGTCAAAATCCTTTTTTCGTCTACAGCAGGCTGTCTGAGGGTCTTGCCCTCTAGCGGTTTTGAGACCTCGGGAGTTCAAGCAGTTGGCTATCACCAACTGATCTGGTGGTTTCATACTCTGTGCCCCAGAGAGTGCAGTCTAAGGGAGACATGTCAAATAAAGCCTATGCCGTCGAGAGCTGTTCACGCCTAGGAAGGGGCAGCTAACAAGAGAAGAGAGTAAGGAAAGAAGGAGTCCTGGGAGGAGTGACTCTGGAGGAGATTTGGAAATTGGAAGGCTGCCCCAGTTGTAAAAGGAAGCATGAAGGGGGAGATGGAGAGATTATCTCTAGACTCTGGCTAAAGCTGGGCAAAAATTTGTGGAGGAAGAATTTCTTAGCTGAAAAATACAGTTTTGAGTGGAACAAAGCTATTTGAGAGTTCAGGTTGAATTTGGAAAAGAAGTCAGAATTTTTTGGGGGGGTTTTGTGGAAAAGTTTGACACATTTCCTTTCAAAACAAAACAGTTCAGCTTTTCTTTTCAGTGGGTGCTTTTGTTTTGAAATTTGCTGAAACTCAGTTTTAAAAATGGTATTAGAAAAAGGGTTGAAAATCTAAAAATGCAACGAAATGTTTCAGGTTGAACAAAATGTTTTGCTTTACCCGAAAAGGGATTGTTCTTCCCTTTGTTCTCAGGTCAGCCAGCAAATAGGAAAACGAGGTCTGTATACAGCTCTGACTTGCCATCTTGAAGGCAGTGGTCTAGACAAAGCTAGGAACGGCAAAGCTCAATATTTTGTGGAAGAGATTTAGATCCTAAGGTAGACAGAGACTGAATAGAGCATTTTTATGTCCCTGCATGAGCTGTGGGTCAAAGTAATGGAGTGGTCCAAGAGAGAGGTAAGGATGTCCTCGTGGTAAGGTGCCAAACAGCAGTGTGGCTTGACTCGGATGGCCAGACAAGGAGGGCAGGGTGCCTGACGTGCACACATCCTCTTGAGCCAAGGGACTGTCTTTATTCTCCTGCCTCTTTCTTGCAGGTTCCTACCTCATGGTCAACTCCTCTCAGCACGCCCCAGGGCAGAAAGCTCACATCCTTTTCCAGTCACTGAGTGAGAATGATACCCACTGCCTCCAGTTCAGCTACTTCATGTACAGCCGGGATGGCCACAGCCCGGGTTCCCTCAACGTCTATGTGAAAGTCAATGGTGGCCCACTGGGCAGCATGGTTTGGAACGTGTCTGGCTCCCATGGGCGCCAGTGGCATCAGGCAGAGCTGGCTGTCAGCATGTTTTGGCCCAACGAATACCAGGTGAGTGACAATGGGAGATGATGCTATAGAGTGGTTCAAGGCCTGGAAAATAAAAAGTGAGTCCGGGAGGATACCAAGGGACAGTGCATTCAAGCGGTGACTGAGCCACAACATAGCCTGGTATTCTGGGGCCTGGTCCTGAGCCCTTACGAATACAACTTGAGCTACCCACATGAGGAAGGAGTGTAGGGCTAGGGCTGCTAGTCCTGATGGACAAATGCCTGGTTGGTGACTCAGCTTCCTGTTCCAGGTCTAGGGTCTCCATCATACAGCAGTCCTAGTGCTCTACCATCCCAGCCTTCAGTTGTGGGCTGCTCCTCTATTGCTCTGCTGATGTCCCTCATTCCCAACCTTTCTGTTGCACGTCTGCCATCCTCAACTCTGCTGATGGCACCCCCCAGTGCTAGGCTTCTGGAGAGCTGATTGGAAAAGTGTGCGGGTGGTGTCTACCTAAACCTCTCAGTACCCCAAATGGAGCTGGGGAACCTCATGGGAGTGTGCTTTCACTTGGAGTTGTAACACGTCCAGCTGCTGGTTGGGGCTGCATGTACAAGCACAGCATGTCCCTTTCTGGGTGTTAGCTCCTCATCTTTCCATGGTAGCGGGAACCCAGGCAAGAAAGGGCTGCAAAAACATGAACAACTATTAAGCCAGAGAGTGGCCTAGGATTCCTTGCCTTAAAGAGTGTGATACAGACTAGAGATGAGCCCAAGCTGCAGCATCTGAATCCAGCCCTGGAGTCTCGCACCCAGCCAGTGTTTGGGGTGGTCAGTTTTGGGGACTGGGACCAGGACATTATGTAAATAGGCCAACACCATAAGTTCTGGGCCCATTGTGAAAGATCTCCAGGAAGACCTCCCTATACCAGGGGATGGTGGTATGTCATTCCAGCATAGAATTAAGTGACAGGTATGTGTCTGGTTGCTCTCAGGTCCAGTTTGAGGCGGTGATCTCCAGCGAACATAGAGGATACCTTGGCTTGGATGACATTTTGGTCTTGAATTATCCCTGCTGTAAGTAAGACGGAAACCTGGCTGCAGCTGCCTTCCTGACAGGGGCCAGCCGTCTGGCCTGCCATGCTGTCACGGGGAGTCCTCACACTCCCAGTTAACATTCTTGTAATGAGGGGTTTGATGGGACTCAGTGTTAACTGGCTGCCGTGGTGCCTGACAGCATTCATACTCCCCTGTCAGAGCAGAGCCAAGGGGACACACCAGCTGATGTGGCTGGAGTTGGATGAGAGATGGCTGTCACGACCTTTTGTCAGCAGGGTGTTGGGGCGGGGGTGAGGGTGAAGGGACAGCCTCCTACAGACAGCATAAACTTGAAGTATCAGGAACTGGGAGTCACCAGCCTGGTGAATAGGACCAGAGAGGGCCATGCAGGGGAACAGGCTGGTGAACAGCACTGATTTTTGGCAGGTTGGGAGAGACGCTGAGGTGCTGTCACTGGGCAGGGTGGTGCTGGGTGGGTAAAGAACATGACTTAATGGTTAGTGCTGCACAGGGCCAGACAGGGTGGGGAGTGCAGGCTAGTGCCTAGCACCAGGCAGGAAAGCTACGAGTCCTAGTCCCCACCCCTCCCATCTCACCTTGGGGAATAGACCAGTGCCCCCATCATGTAGCTGTGATCACTGGGGCTCAGTGACAAGGGGCTCAAGGCAGCCAGGGTCGCACTGAGCCCTACCCCTGCTGAATGGACACCCACTCACTGTAGATATGATCAGTGAAGTTCAGTTATGTACCGTCCTGTGGGATCCTAGGGGCTTGATTTCAGGAATTCTCAGCATGTCATGGGCTCAGTGGTTGGGTGGGTGATACGGCAGGGGCATATGTGAATCTCCCTTGAATGATACACCCCATAGCTGTTTCTGCTTCTGCTCAAGTCTGTAAACTTAGATGAGCACAGGCCTAGATGTCATGCCTTTGGAAAGGACAGTTCTGGTGGCAAGGGAAAGGTCAGTTGACTGGGGATAGCCTCTGGGAGGTAGCTAACATCCTGGCAGACAGGACAAATTGGGTTCAGGGCATGGATACCAGTGTGCCCCTGAGTCCTTCCCCTAAATAATGTTTCTGCTAGACCAAGCCAGTAAGCTCTGGAGCATTAATGATAGGGAAGGAGGGCACTGCAGGAATGTGGTGCTAGTCAGTAGAGTCCTTCTGTGTGGCTGGCGAGTTGAACTGTCAGGGAGCTTCTGAGTTTTTTGTATCAGAGTCTTCCCTGCTGCCTCCTTCATGGCTTCTTCTGCTTCTGAGCAGGTTCCTCCCATACAGTCTGTTTTGGCGGTGGAGCAGTTGCTCCGTAGAATAAGACAGTGAGAATTTACAGTCAGGGTCATAGCCATCATTCCATGATGCCCGGTACCCTACAGCCTGCAGTGATCAATGCATGATGCTAAGAGGAAGGAGAAAATCCTCCCCATAATACGCTTGTCTAATTGTGCTATGTGACAGCTGTGGAAAAATTTCTTCCTTCCTGACTCTGTCACTGAAGTGGATTGCTTCTAACCTACCCTTCCTACATGCAAAGAATTTGAATTTATGGATTTATATATGGGGGTGGGGGGTCTTTGATCCAGGTGCTGAGCTAATTAATACCACTTAATTCAGCTCCTGCTACAGCTGTTACCCTGAACAAGTAAATAGCATATTTTGTAGCTGTGCTACACTGCAGAGCCATAATCTGGTGTGGCTGTGTGCTCCTGGGATCCAGCACTCTGTCCCATGGCTGTGTTTGGGGGGAAGCGAGGGGCAAGCCCACCGTAGTGTAGATCTGGTGGGGTGCACCTGTGGAATCCAGTGGGATTGTTTGTTTGTTTCTGTGCCTTTGCAGCCAAAGCGCCTCATTTCTCCCGCTTGGGCGATGTGGAGGTCAATGCTGGGCAGAACGCTACCTTCCAGTGCGTGGCAGCTGGGAAGGCGTCGGAAGCCGAGAGGTTCCTCATGCAGGTGACTGGACCGGGGACGCTGCCTGGTTTTGCTGTCTTTCTCCCTGTCTGTGGGACTCCCTGAGATGGAGTCACCTCATTCCCAACTCTTCTGTGCAGTGCCCTGATTGCAAAGCCAGGGTGCTGGTGCTGACTCAGTACTGCCTCATCAGTACTACCCAGAGAGGTGGGGCTCCCAGTCCATTTGAAGGCACTGGTGTGGGGGCTGTTGGAAATGAGCAGGGGAGGGGAAGGCACTTTAACACTCCTCCCCTCCCCGACCCTCTGTGTCACATCAGAGATTCCCTCAGGCCCCTTTCCACTAGAGAACAGTTGATGGAGGATAGAGAGATGACCCCACTGGCCTACCTCACCCTGGCCTACCTCAGGGGCTCTTCTGGGCGATGTTCCCATTGAGGTTGGCAGGAGTTTTACCCAACTAAGGGTGATGAGACTGGACCCCTAAGCAGCAATGGAAGACATGGGCTGCTGTAATCTCCTACTCACCACCCTTTCCCCACATCCCAGTGGGGCATTAGCATTTGGCATTGTGCTGCCATTCTCATGCTGCTCCACATTACCACCATCTAACTCTAGAGAGCAGCACTGAGGGCTGGAAGGCTTGACAGACAGGGCCTTGAGGGAGAACACAGTGGGGAAAATGGGTGGGGTGGGTACTGTTAGATACAAAGGAGATCCCACATTGCTACTTGGCCATTATGGGGAGCTTCACAGAGCAGGCACAGAAGAACTGTGCTGCCTGGATTTCACCTTCCTTCCAACGTAACATCATCTCGTTGGCCAGCAGAGGCAGAATGGAGCAGTTGTCCCAGCTGCCTCAGTGAAGCACATCAGCCATAGGAGGTTCCTGGCTACCTTCCAGTTGGACGAGGTCTCCAAGGCAGAGCAGGACCTCTACCGCTGCGTCACCCAATCTGTCCGGGGCTCCGGTGTCTCCAACTTTGCAGAGCTGATTGTGAAAGGTGAGGGTGATGCTTCTTTATGCTATGGGAGGGCCCTTCAGCTGAAGATTGCATCACAAATCACAAATCTTTACCACTGGCCCCATCCCTGTGGTACAGATGAGGGAACTGGGGCACAGAGACAGAAAAAAACCTTGCTTCAAATTACACAGGGAATTGTTGGTAAATCTAGAGGCTTGACTCCCACTTGTTGGTTAGTGCACCGGACTGGAACTTTAGAGACTGGGTTTTGTACCCAGCTTTGCCACTGGCCTGCTGGATAGCCTTGGGCAAGTCACTTTCTCTGCTTGTAGCTCAGTTTTCCCTACCTTTAAAATGGGGAAAATGCTGCAAGCCTTGCTTTGAGCTCTCCTGATGAGTTAGTTCAGTGGTATCAAACTAATCTGGTCCCTGCAGACCATCCCTGTGATTGGATCCAGAATGTGGGGCCGGACCAGCACAGGTTCCCTGCGTAGGGCATGCTAGATCGGGTCCATGCAGCACATGTGCCAGACCAGCTGTGTGTGTGGGGTCTGGCCCATTCCAGCATGTGGGGCTGGTCCGACACATACTGAATATGGTGTGTGGGTTCAGTCCAAGACCTGTGGGTAGCACTGCAGGCTGGACGATAAGGATCTACAGGCCGGATTTGGCCTGTGGGGGCTGTATCTTTGACACCCCTGAGGTAGCCATTGCTAACAACTGTAGATACTAAACAAAGACGGCTCATTGTGTGAGGGGAGGTGCTGTCTTTTCCTCAGTCCTCTCCCTGCGGCAGGCCTCAGGCTGTATTGTGTTGGCTTGTAGCCCTGCTCCAGCTTAGATGTGTGTGTGAGAAGAGGCAGGGAGCTTGACAGGAGGCTGGAGGGAAGAGCAGGGACAAGTGTGTTGGTGGGGAAGGGGAAGCTGATGGGCTGGGGCAAGATGTGATAGGAGAAGAGCAGGTGAGCTGGTGTGAGGAAGGGAAGGACAGGAGGTGTTGGGTGTGCTTGGAAATGGTGGAGTGACAGGTGGGGGCTGGTGAAAAGGCACCTCTGAAAAACAGACTTGAGGTGTCTCACTGACTTGAGGGAGCGAGTTTAGTCCACTGGATGTGGGATGACTGAACCTATGCTGAAGGTCTTCCCTCTGATCAGGACTCCTCATTGATTTAGACCAGCGACAGGCAATTATTTTGGACAGCAGGCTGCTTAGTGAGTTTCAGCAAGCCATTGAGGGCTGCATGACAGGCAGCCCAGGCAGATTAATTAATTTTCTAAATTTTTTAGGGGCCTCATGGGCTGGATAGAATGGCTTGCCGGGCCACATCTGGCCCCCGGGCCGCATTTTGCCCACCCCTGATTTAGACTGACTCATTGTTTCATCCCAGTGCCATGTGATGCTCGTGAAGTCACTAGGAGCCTTATTGTAGATCTGAGTGATTATTGGTTCATATTGCAGGAGTCTTTGCTGTAGAAATGCAACTGACTGTGAGGTAGGTTGTGGCAACCATTCAGCAGAGCACAGTAGCAGTGCCTCGTGTTTTTAGCTTGTGACGACTTAGGAAGCAGCAGGTAGGATCAGACCTGAGGTCCAGCGTGTGCAGTGTCTTGTCTCTGACATTCGCTCATACCAGGCGCTTCAGAGGCATGAGTAGGAAAACTTGCTTCTTGAAGCAATTCCTTCCTGACTCATAATTGATAAGTGTTAGGTTGTGCCCTGATCTATAAATGTTCATAGTCCTGCAAAAACTCTTGGGCATTTAAAAAATATTGATTTAACTGGATATTCTTTCTTTCCGTATACATTGTTCCTTTCCTTGTACAGCTCTGCCCCGGCTGGACCTGATGATCTTGTAAGGTCCCTTCCAGACCCTAACATCTATGATTCACCATCTATGAATCTATGTGCAGGCACTTTCTACCTGGTAGCATTGAGCTCCATAAGCTCAGCGTGCCATCCGTCAGTGGATTCAGAGGCACGGTAGTCTTTGTTAAGGTAGTGGAATAGCACTAGTTTGCAGTTATCGGTGTCTGTGTGTCAGCCAATGCAGACTATTTGAAAAAAACAAAAACAAAAGGAAGGGAGGTGCCTCCCCACACGGACTTTGTTCGTTTATTTTTGATGGTCATAGTTGGGTGCTAATTAATTTTGATGGAACTTCACAGCACCTTCACAGCCTGCTTTGTACAATTAAGGTTTGGTCAGTGGAACTGTTGTGCTCTGCATTGTAAAAACCTTTGCTGGGAGAGGGGAGGGAGCGAGAGAGCGCAAAACTCGTGTGTGTGTGTAAGGGGGGAGCGAGAGAGAGCGTGTGTGTGTTGGGGGAAGTACAGCAAATGTCTTAGTTTTAGGGGTACATTCTCTTTGCTTGTCTGGTTTTGTTCAAGACCAGATTATACTCTCAGTTGCATCTGTCCTTTGCAGTGTCCTGCAACTGAGGTCAGAATTTGACCCACAGGCCAAGGGCAGAGTTGCCTATGAAGAGAAATTTGTGTGCCAGGGTTGCTGGATCATGGACTAGAGCAGGGGTGGGCAAAATGGTGGATCCAGCTGGTGGCTGGACTCCATTTCCCAGTAACCCCTGCCTATGTTGCTATGACTGATTTCCATGGAGATCCCAGCAGCTGTGGTACCCTGACAGTGTAGGGCCAGAGTTTCCATGGAGCACTGGCAGGGCACACAGCTGGGCAGGGAGCTGCGCTGGGGCTGGGATCTGGCAGTGGTGATGGTGTGGTTTGGAGTTGGGGCAGAGCCCCGATCCGCTGCCTGCATGCCCCACCTGGGACATGTGGGCAGTGGATTGCAGCTCTGCCCTGGCTTCGGACCATGCTGTCACTGCCACAAGATTCCAGCCCAAAGCTCGCCCTGCCCAGGCTTACGCCCTGCCAGTGCTGCTGGGGCTGGTCTCCATGCAAACCCTGGCCCCACGCTGCCTTGGCGCTGCCACTGCTGGGGTCCCCACGGAAACCGGCTGCGGCAATGTGGACAGGAGCTTCTGAGAAATAGAGTCCTCTGAGAGCCCGATGTGGCCCATGGACCGGACTTTGCCTGCCTGTAGGGTAGAGTCTGCCCTTGTTTGAAAAGGTGGAGCTCTGTGGCAAAGTCAGTGGAACTGCTCTGGACTGAGAGGACGCTGAGTCTGACCCAGTCGTCCTTCTCAAGCCAGGATCCTGGTAGACAAATGAGGAAAAGGAAGGTTTGAATGTGTCTATACTATAGAAAGGATTGGAGCCCCATTGCATTAGATGCTGTACACACACCTAGCAAGAGGCACTGTTGACCCCAGGGCAGTCAGAGCTCAAGCAGACAAGACGTATCAAAAATGGGAGAGATTCAACATGGGGAACTGGGTTCAGGGAGGTTCACTGATTTACTTAAGGCTACACAGGGAGTCTGCAGCAGAACCTAGACCCTGGATTTCCCAAGTCCTAACCCAGCACCAGCCATACGGCGCAGTTGATGGTGGTGGTGCAGGACAGGCACTTGGCTCAGTAGGGAGGGGGATGCTCCATTCACCCTGCTCTGTCCTTCTCCAGAGCCTCCGACGCCCATTGCTCCCCCACAGCTGCTTCGAGCTGGCTCCACCTACCTGATCATCCAGCTCAACACCAACTCCATCATTGGCGATGGTCCCATTGTGCGCAAGGAGATTGAGTACCGCATGACGTCAGGGCCCTGGTCAGAGGTCCACGCTGTCAACATGCAGACCTACAAGCTGTGGCATCTGGATCCCGACACGGAGTATGAGATCAGTGTGCTGCTCACTCGTCCAGGCGAGGGAGGGACTGGCAAGCCGGGGCCGCCCCTCATAAGCAGGACCAAATGCGCAGGTAGGTGGCTGGTTAACAAGGGGTGTGGGAGGTGCTCTGTCCATCCCAGGTTGCGGGAGGTGCTTTAACTCATCAGGATCTGCACGAGCATCCATGGGGCAAAGGGGGTGGCATGCGTGGAGTCTCTGCTTGTTCCAGTGTCCTGGTCAGTAGCACAGAGGGATGTTCCTCAAGACGCTTAACTTCTCCTGGCTGTCCAGTATGCTTGTTACTAGGGCTCAGACCTGTCTCCGACTGCCCCTAGCCACAGGATTCAGGTTCGCCTGTAGGTTTCCAGCCAGCAGGTGATGTGTTTCACTAGTGCATGGGTGTGGGGGCATGGGGCAGGGCCTGTCAGAAGGCAGCCGGCCTCATCAGGGTCTACCCTGGGTTAGTGCGATGGGAGTGATAGCTCCAAGCCCTGTGTTTAGAGACAGTGTCGTGGGTGTTGTGAAGAAATACCTTCTCATCTACCCTATGCTGGGAGACCTGTCCCTAGCAATTCAGCCCCTCCCACATACATTTTTTCAGTTGGATGCTGCTTTTAATTCTAGTGTTTAGGTGAGACCTTGTCTTGGGGGCTCCTCCATTAAGTGAGCTCAGGCCATTCCTTTAACCTCTCTCAGCCTGTGAAAGCCAAGCAGTTGCTGCACAGTCCTGGCCCCTTCCCCCTCACCCCTTACCCGAGAAGAGGGAAGGCTGTGCTACTCTTGATTTTTGTGTGCTCAGTTTGCAATTATGTGCACTCAGGTGCTAATGGCTGAGCCCGGGTAAAAATAAAAGAAAGTCGTCCTTTGTGCCGAGGCTGACTCTGCAGCTGGGATTTACTGTCTCATATGTTAACAGGGGTCACATTAAACTGACAAATGATCGTTGCTTCAGCAACTGGATAAAGAAACAGTCGACGTTCATTGGCAGTGGGATTAATAACAGCCCAGGAACAATGAGGTTTTGCACTCGCCGTGACCTATAACTCAACTCCAGAGCACTTGTTTTTACAGCTTATGGCTTGTTGAGTACATTGGTTAAGCACTTGCTGTGGTGATGAATGGGTTAATAATGGGTGGGGCAGTAGTTTTCGTGTGTGCTGGATCCTGCCCCAAAGAGCTGGGTCTTGCACTTGCTGTCTGGACAGGCGGGGGCACCAGTACCATCCCAGGCTAAGGGGGAGCGTGTCTTGCACATGTGACATGAAAGACCCTGCCCCAGAGAGCCAGACTGACCTGGAGGACACAAGAGATGGGTGGAGAGAAGGAGGAGCCAGGCCAGCAAATGTAACAGGGGAGTTAAGATTGTGATCTTTCCAGCCGTGCTTTTACCTTAGAGGCACATCCCTTGACTTTGATGTGAGCAGAGGTTGCCCAGTGCTTCTCGTGGGAGTGGAAGTGGACCTCCTCACAGGATCAGACCCTGTGAGGTTGCAGGTGGTGGCAATGTACCCATCTCAGGTCTTCTATGTCTCATTCCTAGCCTGCTTGCTCTCACGTAGGGCTGAGCTGGCCCTCATTATCCCCATTGCTCAGGTGGAGAAGTGAGGCACAAAGAGACTGAGTGAGCCCAGCAGGGGCTTCCTGGGACTCCAGTCCTGTGGGAACATGCTCCACTGCTTGGATTCACTACGTGGGACACACCATGTGACCAGTGTTCCTGGGAGTGAAGCATTAGCAGAGCCCTGACTGTGAAGTATCCTGCAGACAGGAGCCTGTAGCAGTGGAAGCCCAGAAACCTTTGGCTTCAGCAATAAGCTGCCTCCAACCACAATAGATAAGCGTGTGAATCTGCCCTTAATTGACTTTTTAGCAACAGCATCCTGCAGCATTCACTCTGCTCTATTGTTCCCTAACCAAGATCCTTTCAGGAGGGCTGGCTGGGCTGTCACTGGAAGAGCTGAATGTCCTCGTATGCACTGAGAGCCTCTGGAGGCCAGGGCATAATTAGCTGGCTTGTCACTGCACAGGCACAACTGGACTGCCTTCCAGGAGAGCGCTGGCATTCAGGATGGGATTCCCCCCACCTGGCCTGGCACAGGAACAGACATTGTTTGTAGATGCTCCATGCTCCTTGCACGGAGACCAGATGCAGGGAGCCTGCTCACTGCCTCCAGGCTCAGCAGCCCCAGTTCACAAGCAGAGCCATCCTGCTTTGACAGAGGTTTCTAATGAAGCCTGAGCTCTGGTTGGGTTCATTGGAGGGTGAGAGGATGTGCCTGTTAGGGCACAGTTTTAAACTGGGGAAAAGAACATGTGCAGTTATGCTGAATGGGCCAAAAATATTAATCCCAACTAAGGAGCTTTGATTGATTGGCAGTGGGTTTTTGCTGCTCAGAATCTGGCAGCAGCCGAACTGAGTGACCATCACCAGTCCTATTCCTGCCATCACTCTTTAGAGATGTGGGCAGCTCCAAAGTGTTGGAGATCAGCAGGGATGAGCCCAACCCACAAAGTCCTGATGCTGATTTGGAGCATACCCACCCTAAATTCGAAAGGGGTTGGTTTTAAGTCAGCCTGTTAGGCTGGGAGTCTGGCTTTGAGATTTAGACACAGAGCCCAGGCCACCTCCAAACTCTGTTTCAAGTGTGAAATGTCATCAAAAGGACAAGGTTTAGGGTGTTGCTGTGCTGTGACGGTGCGTTGGCTATGAAGGTGTATTCTGGGGTGTTCTCCAAGCTTTTTCACATTAGTCTACAGGAGGCAGGTGAACTGCAAAGGATAATGTATAAATCAGGGTGGTAAACTCCTTGACCTAGAGGGGGAAATCCCTGTTTCTCTGATCTCTGCACCAGGGTTATAGTGCCCATCGTGGCTATATGGAAAGCCACTTTTTAGTCTCTTACGCCTGAGTTTAAGTAGACAATGCGTTGTATAATGTTTGCTTAAAGACTAAGCTAAATGTTCTGGTTATTAACCTATTTGAAAGCAGGATGAAGGCTATCTTGCCATATTTCAGAACAGGCTCTCTTATACGAGCAATAGCAACGTTGGTAGCTGGGCCTCATTGCTAAATGTTCTGTATTCTTCAGTTCCATTTTCCATCTGGCACATAGCCAATAATAAGACTAATTTCTTTCATGCAGATGATATACAGGAAGTTAAGTGACATGCCCAAGGTCACACATTCAGTGGTTGGTGGAGATGGCAATAGAGCTCTGCCCGCCTGATTCCCAGAAGCCTGTTCTAGCCATGGGCCGGTGCCCTTGCTTGGACACCCTACACTGGGGCATAGGGTGGTCAGAGCAGACGTTTCCCAGTAGTGGGGCCAACAATGTCATTTGTGGGGAGTCTTTTTCTAAAGACCTCTCCCACCTCTGCTGCCTTGACAGAGAGTCTGCTGAGGTCTCAGACGACAGGAAGCATCCTGGGGCTGGTGTTTCAGACACTCCATAGCAACAGACTTCCTCCATGTGCCAGGGGTTTAACTGCTCAGTAATTAAACAAAGTCAAAGGGAGCACATTTTTTTTGAAGGATGAACATGATTGTGATGTGCCCTGTCCCTTTGAAGGAGCGGCTTTTATGAGATGATCCTTAATGCTCACCAGTTGGGAAGCGATTGCAGCCCCACAATAACAGCGTCACAGATTGCCTTCTTCACATTTGTTTTTTCCCCCTCCTCCCTCAGTCCCACCCTCCGTGGATGATTATAGTTGGAGCATATAAATTAAATACACAAAAGTGCACAAGATCGCTGTGCTGGGGAAGTAATAAGAGTATTTAACCTTTCTGGGAAAGAGCTTGTTTTTCAAGTGGCTGAGCTTGAATGTTGCTTGCAAAGTGATATTATGGGTGTCCTTGTCACGTCTCGTGGCCAGGCTTGTGGGGACTGGGAAGAGAACTCAGGCACTTGCTGACAACCAGGTCCCTTGGGAAACAGTTTGCCAGTGATAATATTATGTTAGATGGGCATGCAGAGAACTGCTTCTGGCCTTTGCCCAAACCTTTCCTCATGCTCTGAATTAAAACTGTCCAGAAATTCAAACAGTCCTTAGCAGTGCACGATCATTAGAAAGGGAGCCTGCAGTATCTCGCTTTGAAACCGGGAGCCTTGGTGGCCAGAGCTGCAGGACTGTCTTCCCTACCCAGTGGCAGTAGCAGAGGACTCTCAGCCATCTTTTCCAGACTAGCCACTTGGAGGAGAACGAAGAGCACGCGCTATAGTGACAGGGTTTCAAATGGGAAGCCAAGGCTCCTTCAGACAATCTTGCCCCGCTCTGTGCTCACTCTTCAACATCTCTTCTCTGAGGGGAAAGGTGACAGTTCCCGTGTGTGGAGGTAGGGTCTACTTGCAATAGCACTATTACAGATCTTGTTTCAAACCCATGGGAACTAGGCAGTGACATAATTCTTGCCATTCACCTAGCATGGTCTTACTGAGGACCTCATTCAGTGGGTGTGAGTGAGTATTAACCCCCCTTCATTTAATAGACGTGGAAACCGAGGCGCAGAGAGGTGGAGCAATGCACCTGAGAAGTCTGAGGGCTCTGCCTGCTTTGTTCTTGTTCATGTGTGCAACTGAGTTTTAAAATTGCCATCCTGGCACACAGCAGGATTTGCCTCTGCCGTGGTCCTTACTGCATGAGATGGTTTGAGGAAAAGTGATGGGACACTGTAGATGAGATTAAAGAAGTCACCTACCCTATCTTCCTGTGCAGTTGGTGGTTGCCACTGTGGTCTAGACCAGGGGCAGGCAAAATACAGCCCACTGGCTGGATTCAGCTTGCCAGGCCATTCTGTCTGGCTCACGGGGCCCCCCCAAAAAAACAACTATTACTGACCCACGGCTGCCCCTCTGAAAGCTGGTGGGAGGAGGGCTTTCAGAGGTCATGTGCCATTGGACTGGGCACTCCATGGAGCTCCTGGCACTCCAGCTGGGAGTCCAGTGTGGAGGCACTGGGAGTGATGGTGAGTGACTGGACAGTTGGTGAGTGGGGAGTGCTGGAAGATCCATGCAGAGGCATGGAGCCGGCTTGCTCCGGCCCAGTGGTGTGTGGCTGTGGCTGAGTCCTGGGAGATGCACATGGCTGCAC